GGGGGTGTGCTTTTATGGTTCCGGCCAGGAACAGGTCCTGGTGAGCGCCAGCCTCTATCGCGGTAGGTGCCTCGCCCGCCCCGCCCAACTCGCGAAGCACGGGAGCTAGCTTCCTATCGCGTTAGCTTCTGAAGCGAGGCGGGACTTCCCAACCTTCCGGTTCAGTGCCTGCTTCCGGTGTACTCCCCACCTCTTCCGTTTCCGGCCGCGCTGGGCGCTTTTGGTTGGTGCTAGTGTGTCGACGGCCGTCAAGTGAAAGAAGTTCAATGGCCGTGGCGGGGTCTGTAAAGACGGCGCTGCAGGTGGCCGAGGTGCTGGAGGCCATTGTGAGCCGCTGCGTGGGGCCCGAGGGACGACAGGTTTTGTGTACGAAGCCCACCGGCGAGGTGCTGCTCAGCCGGGATGGAGGCCGCCTCCTGCAGGCCCTGCAGTTAAACCATCCAGTAGCCAGGTACCGGAGTCCTACACTTTGCCCGCCACCCAGTACGCACCCGATAGTCTCCCTGAATCTCTTGTCCCTTCCCGAGGCTCTGTGCGCGGGAAAACGACCTCTGGGGACACCAACACGTACAGGGGGTTAGAGTGCTGCGCAAGGAATATTACTGAATTCCAAAATTTCAGACTGCTCATTCCTCGCCTTCCTAGAATCTTAAGAATGTAACAAAGTATATTGGAAAGGAAAGAAAGAAAGAAAACTAAGACTATATATCAAAAGGACAAAATTCTTTCTTTAGTCTGTAGCTGATAGTTTTAACTCGATTCCATGTAGGAAACCTGTTCCCAGAAAAATCTGACTTTTTTTTTTTCCCCTGTCTGCTTCTCTGTCTCTTGGTGCAGGATAATAGTGGCGTGTGTTTCCAGTCATCTAAAAAAGACAGGAGATGGTGCTAAAACATTTATTATATTTCTTTGCCATTTACTCAGAGGACTTCGTGCAATCACAGAAAAGGATTCATTGATTCCTGAAAATTTTCAGACCTTTGAAAGACGTTGGAAAACTTGTTGTCAGTGGAAATTTATTTCTCAGGCTCTATTAACGTTTCAGACACACGTTCTAGACTATATTATGGACCAGTACTTAAGTAGACACTTTTTATCCATCTTTTCTTCATCTGCTAAAGAGAGAACATTGTGTAGGAGCTCCTTAGAATTACTCTTAGATGCATACTTTTGTGGAAGAGTGGGAAGAAATAATCACAAGTTTATTTCACAATTAATGTGTGACTACTTTTTCAAGTGTATGACTTCGGAAAGTGGGACGGAAGTTTTTGAGTTAGTGAATGACTGTTTTGTAGAGTTGAATGTCAGTGTCACTGGCCTCCCTGTGTCAGAGTCTAAGATCATAGATGGTCTTGTGCTTCACAGAGATTTTTCTGTTTACTGCCCAGCAGATGGTGACATGCGAGTAGCCATAGTAAGAGAAATCATTCAGCCTCTTTTTTCAACTTCTGGGTCAGAGTTTGTTCTAAACTCAGAAGCACAGTTTCAGACATCTCAGATTTGGATTATGGAAAGAACAAAATCAATAATGAAACATTTACTTAGTCAAAATGTAAAATTGCTTCTGTCTAGTGTGAAACAGTCAGATTTAGTTATTTATTATGCAAGACTGAGTGGCATATCAGTTGTGGACTGTTTATCATCAGAGGAAGTTTCTTTTATCCAAAGGATCATCAGTTTTTCCCCATTTGTGTTTCCACAGGCCTATTTACAGTGTGAAATTTCCAACACTGCTTTGGTGAAATTTTGTAAACGTCTTATCCTTAGATCCAAAAGATACGTTCATCTTGGTCTAATTAGTACATGTAAATTTGTGCCACACTGTATAATTCTTTGTGGACCAGTGCAGGGTCTTGTTGAACAACATGAAAGTGCTTTATATGGAGCATTTAAAATGCTTCAGCAGTTATTTAAAGACTTTGATCTAAATTATGTTAAAAAAGTCAATGCCCAAAGTGACACATTAAGTCCTCCTCTTTATAAAAATAGTAGAAAGAGTAATCAGTTACTCAGAATTTGTAATCACCCTATACGTAAACCTTATCAAGGCACAGGTATAAAGAACAATGATGAATTGGAAAAAACTCAGTATTTAAAAATACACTCAAACTTGCCAGTTTCAACTGTTGAATTAGAAACACACATTTCATTTTCAGCACCAAAAATGATGCCAACAGATACAGTCCAAACAGATGAAATATGGAAGTGTTTGCCTCCTGAAAATAAAAGGGTAACTGATGACAGTGAACTAATTGAGAATAATTCCACTAGGAATTCTATAACAGAAAACACTAGAATAGAAGTTTCTTATGAAAATTTCCAGGTCACAAATAGTGCTGGAAAGGGGAGCATATTACCAGTGAAATATAAATCGCTAGAAACTACATGCATTTCACAGAGTTGCTGTTCATCTATACCAGCCGGTTGTGTTTTGCCTGTGGGTGGGAGTTTTGAGATCTTACTACATTACTACCTTATCAACTATGCCAAAAAATGTCAGCGGTTAGAAGAAATCATGGTTAGTAAGTTAATAGCCAATGCACTTTTAGGCATTCCCCAAATCCTTTATAAACAGAAGAAAGGATATGACAGTTTCCCACAAGTATTTTTGAGAACTCTCCCCACACTGCAAACTGATCAACCCATGATAAACTGTCAGGCAGGTTTGGAATCAGTAATTGGTAAATACCATGTACTAACTTCAGTTCTTCAATGTTTGACAAAAATATTAACCATTGACTTGATAATCAGTATTAAAAGACAACCTTCAAAAAGTTGTGAGCCAGACTCAGAAGATGAGCTTCAATATTAGCAATTTTTTGTAACTTAGTTTTTAATCCAACTAGAACCATAAAATAAGGCAGACATATGACTGTGGGTTCTCAGGACAGTTCAGTCTACTCAGAAAAACAGCCTAAGATCAAATGTCTTCAGAAGTATGCCAAGGCCACCAGACCGTTCGGATGCAAATATTAGGCTACTTTATGTAACAAAACTAAAGGGGAAACCGAGATCCAGCTAAGGCATCTCCCGTTTTATGTCTGTGTAAGTCTGTGTGTTTAAAGGAGTGTTTAATTTAAAGCATATAAATTAAATTATTCCTTCATGTGCCACTTATTTCATTTCTATTCCATTTAGAAAGAAAACCTTCATAGATTTTTACCACTCATAAACCACTGAATATGTTATGAGAAATGTGATTGTGCATTGTGAACTCATTTTATTTTTGTAATTAAAAGTTAATTCCAGAAACAATATGGAATTTGTACTTTTTATTTTCTTCTAGAGCCTAAAAATCTTGTAAAAACACTTCATATACTAACTGGTTTTTATTGTACTTAGTGCATAGCCAGAGTTCAGTAGTAACAAATAATTTCACAATTATTTCTAATTTAATGTTACAGAGGTTTGTATATTATTTTAAAAGCTTAGGCAAATGATACTATGTATCCAGCCATGGGTAGGAACAGTGTCCTGTATTTGTACTAGTTCTCTAAAACACCCAAAACAGTGCCTTTTTTATTCCGAGTATTCAAAAGTGCTTGTAAAATAAAACAGTGCTATCTTTGTTCTGTTTCCATAAATACATGTTTCCAAGTTACTTACTCAAAAAATTCCTGCTGAGTACATACTGTGTGTCAGGTACTGTGTTAGATACTGAGCATATGTCTTCATGCACTTTTGAATAGATATGTACAATACTTAGGTTAGGATTGGGGGCCTGCCCCTTAGCTCAGTTCTTTAAGTGGCAGCTTCAACAAAGCAGTCAGGCTCAGCTTGCTGTGGTTCGAATCCCCACAACTCAAGCCAGCCAAACCTGCCCTGAAGGCATTGGGAGCAAAAAAAAAAAAAAAAATTCTGCCTTAGGTTAGGATTGATTTAGGAAAACCAAAGAAAAAAACTATGATTTGGTAAATAGTACAAATAATATATCAAATCACGAATAATGCATCATGTCACACAGTGTCTCACGGCCTTTTATATTAAGTAAAGTTCTGCTTTTTAAAGGTGTCTGGGCTGGAGAGATGGCTCAGTGGTCTAAAGCACCTACTTAGAACAAGTTCAGCGAAGCACAGGGACCGCGGTTCAATCCCCCAGCACCACATGCCAGCCAGCCCGCCCCCTGGTGGGCTGAGCTGGCCACACACACACACCACTCACTCTCTCTCTCTCTCTCTCTCTCTCTCTCTAATAAATAAAAAAAAAAATTAAAAAAAAAATAAATAAGTAAAGGTGTCTGCCACAGGATGCATTATTTCATTTCAGTGAGTGTGAAGAGAGTAACACCATTCTTTTTACGGAAATACTTAGATGAATGAACCTATATTAAATTGTTGAGTAATTTCCACTCATTTTCAATAGAGTAGGAGCATTTTGCTTTATTTTGTTATTGTTGAAGGTACTCAAAGGCTTTTCTAAATAGGCTCAGTGTTCATTTGGTAGGCATTTAATGTCAGTAGTTTGGAAAGCTTTTTAAGCTGACTTTGCATGATTAATTTCATATTTCATATTTTGCAAACTAGCCAATAAAAACCTGTTTGGGACCTATTTGTTAACTCAGTCTTTGGATCCTTATCCATTAGGATATATCTAAACTTTCATGAGCAGACTGTTTAGGGGAGAAGGAGCAGAAAATATAGAACAGATTTACACAAAGTAATTTGTTTTCCTTTTAGTAAAAAAATCCCAATGATGGTGATAAAGCTTTCGTGAGTTATCTGTTTTTACAAAATAACACTTAAGAATTTGCATCACTGGGCTAGATAAAAGAACTGTAAAAAATTATATTAAATTGATATTCTCTATTATGAAGTATTTAAGGTAACCTATAGCAAGAATAGACAAAATTATGATAAAACCTGAAAAAAAGTTAAAGAATCAGAACTAAACAAAATAAGTGAAGACAATCTAAACAGATCATTTTCCTGTTTATTATTGCTGCATCTTGAATAACTCACAAACAGTATATTTGAATAATTCTCTTTTATGATTCTGGGGGTTGACTAAGCTTAACTGGACAGCTTCCACTGTATTCACTTGGCCAAGGCGTCACAGAGGTTTAAGGGAAGAGAATGTAGTCCTCATGGGAAGAGTGTCTGTGTCACATCATTAAAAGAGTGTGGGATGGGGCTATGTTAAGGCAGGTATCTTTGGAAAACACTGTCTGCTCCACCATGGAAGGGGTAAAGAAGAAAAATATGTGTTAACATCTCAACAGAGTTTCTGTAATTGTTTTCTGAAGTTATATATCAATCCACCTCACATTGTCACATTTTGCCCAATAACATTTTCCCCCTCATGAAGCCAGCATGGACTACAATAAATATTAAACAACTTACCGGGTATGGGGGTACATCCCACTAAGCCTACCACTCTGGGAAGCTGAGGCAGGAGGACCCAAGTATGAGCTCAGCCTGGACAATTTAGCAAGGCCCTATCCTAAAATAATATTTTAAAAGAGCTGGTGATATAACCTACTATGAAGTCTCTCAGTACCACACACACTATAGATAGATGATAGATATAGAGATATATATCACTATCCTATCTTTGCTAGTAGAGCTATTTAGTCATATTATTTAGGAAATTCCATGGTGTCTGTTTCGGACTAAAAGGGAAGGGAAAAGGGTAATGCGCCGTAAGTCTGAACTTTTGTCAGCAATCGCTCATGTCCTCCCGGAAGGAGTAGAATATACCATGAATCTGTATGTTTTGGAGTTTCTTTGTTCTTGGCAGTTCTGCCTTTATCCCAGCACAGACAGCAAAATCTCTTCTGTGGCATGTGACTAATGTTTAAACTCTTGTAAAACCTTTATAAAAAACATGTTACAATCAAATAACAGTTGTAAAATAGCTATGTATGAATGATCATTTAGTTTTATACTTTATTAACTTTTTGCCATATTTATGTCTCCAAATGGGTTTTAAAAAGAGGAATGTTTTAATTTATCTTCTGTGATATTTGATAGTATAAAACTATTATTTCAAACTTCAGTGGTTTGCTACACACATACTTTTTGTATTGGTGAGGAAGTCAGAGAAAAATAGTGCTGTTTTTTTTTTTCTTTCCTTGTAAGTTGACAACACACAAAGGAGAAGAGCCCTCAGAAGTGGAGTGTGAGGTTGAGATTTTAGTGGAAGCAGGAAACCTGAGCAAGGAGTGCCAACACCGATGGAAGCACTTTGGACTTTGCAGAAATCTTAGGAAAGACCCTGAATGCTCTATAGGAGGTAGACAAGGACCTGTGCCATTTTTATTTAGATATTAACTAGATAAGCAGCTACATAAGACCAGAGAGCTTAGTATGTACAGGAATGATGAAGTAGATAAAAGAATGAACCGGATACTGTACCACTAGGGGCTTACTATGTAGTTCAGGTTGGGCTTCAACTCGCTATGTAGTCCCTGCTGGTCTGAAAACGTACAGCCATCCTCCGGCCTCAGCCTCCCGAGTGCTCTGATTACATGTGCACCAGCACACATTCGAGCCTTCATTTGAGCCATGCAAGGCCTCCATTTGCTGTGAGGTTCAGTTTGCCCACTTGCTATGTGGTGTTCGATTTGCTTTGTTTGACTACTTTTTTCAAGGAGCAGTGAGATCCACGGAGAGCTCTGAGGCACAGTCCCCCCAGTCCCTTAGTGGTGTTTTTGTTTCTTCTTTTTTCTTGAATCTGCCTAACAACCATTGTGCATGAAGCTTCCTGATGCAGAAAGTCCAGATGATGTGTCCAAATGTAAGCAGTGTGTCCCAGAGGCAAGTGAAGCCAGGTAACGGGTAATAGTTTTTTTTTTGTTTTGTTTTGTTTTGTTTTGTTTTTTCAGAACCAGGGATTGAACTCAGATCCTTGCGTTTGCCAGTCAAGCACTTATCCTACTGAGCCATCTCCCCGGCCCCCGCGTAATAGTTCTTAAGATTTTTTTTTTCCTTAATAATTTTCAGGCTTCCTACTTGGAGCTATAGGTCAGTCTTCATGTGGTCTGTTTTGCCTGATGCATTAATCTTGATCCAGCCTCCTGCCCTATGGAAACCCTAGTTTTTGAGATGCTTTCCATGCTGAACTTGCCATCCATGCTTTTAAGATTTTATAGCTTGAAATGCATGTTAAGAAAGGGCTTAGACTTTTTCAGTGGTGTGTCTGACCCATCAAGATTTTTTTTTTAAATTTTATTTTATTTATTTATGTGTGTGGCCAGCTCAGCCCACCCGGGGGGGGGGGGGCTGGCTGGCATGTGGTGCTGGGGGATTGAACCGCGATCCCTGTGCTTTGCTAAGCTTGTTCTAAGTAGGTGCTTTAGACCACTGAGCCATCTCACCAGCCCTAATGACCCATCAAGATTTATGTAGAAAAATAGAGATCTGCATGGTTGTTCCTCTATAAAAATATATTTTGACAGCTATTTATAGTGTCATATTTATCAGGAAATTTCTCAAATTTAGTTATTCAAATCTTATATCTGGTTAGGCTAATCTGTAGATCCTCTGATGGGGCTCAAAATGTATAGAATGGATTCTTAGTAAGCTTTCTGGAGAAAGGACCCTTGAAGGGTCCTTATATGATTCCATAGGGGTCTATGCCTTTCTTGGGTCCTTGAGTAATGGACTAATTGCCAGGTTTGTCGAAATTGAAGTTAGCTTCTGGAAGTTAATGATGATGCATATGACCATTCTTAGAAATGCACTTTGAATTTCATCCAATGAAAACAGCAGTTTCTACTGGATGGAGAGACTAGCTTGGCATCTGTCATCAAAATCAAGCTGGGTGTGGTGATGCATGCCTAGAATCCTAGAACTTGGGAGGCTGAGGCAGGAGGATTGCAGTGAATTTAAAAGGCCAGCTGGGCTACAGAGTGAATTGAAGACTAGCTTGAACTACATACACAGAATGACCCTGTCTCAAAAAAACAAAACAAAACAATTCAGTTTTCCTGTTTGTCTGTTATGTGTTTTTTTCCTTTGAATTGTTTTGCCCTGAAAGTTACATCCTACTGGTTTCCTTATTATATAATGAGTAATTTTTTGACATGTTCATTTTATAGTTGTATAATTTTATGCATTTTATTTTAGCACCGTAAGTCTTCAACAAACCAGTCCATCTCCACAAGTGGGATGGCACTGAATGAGAGGAGAACCCTGCACTTCTGATATTTGTCTAAAAGAGACTGAGCTGCCACTTGAAAGGGCAGGATGATGTTTGCCCTTATTCCTGAACACAGTTTCTGGATTCAAGTTTAGTTTAGTGTAGAGTTATGAAAACATATGTCAA